CACTTTCCTTTTCTTGAGCTTCTCTTTCTTTTTCCTCCTTTTCTTCTTCTTCTTCAGTTGATTCTGAAAAACTCTGAAATTCTGAAAGCGATTCGGATAGTCTGAGTTCGGATAATTTCAAATTATGCTGTACTAAGCCGAAGGCTAGTTCTGTTTGCAGTATAACAGGAACTTTGTCATCCCGGGTTATGCCACTTCATATTTCGTCTATAGAGAAATATGTTAACGCTCTCCGACAGCCAGTTTCATGCACATAACAAGCTTTATCCGCGAATTTTTTTAATACACTATGCTTTACAAGTTAATGAAACTACCAAAGGCATAGTAAATCGCAGATATTTAAGAGTATATTGAAAGGCAAAACATAGTAAATATGAATTCAAGAAGTCAAACAACAAAAACCAGCGTTATATTCACAAAATTTTCACAGGACTAGTTTCGATGGTTTTACCGAACCATCATCTTCAGCTGCAAAACCGCAAATGAACAAGATAGGAAATAATGATTAGATAAGATAAGGAAGCCTGGACAAGAATAAGCAAGTGGCGCCATCTGTTGGCGAAACCAGAACTAAAACATAATTTCTCTAAAAGCCGAAGGCAAATTTGGATTGGACTTAGGATCGTTAACTAGAACAGAAAGATTTTTATGAATGTGAAATGCCTCTAGAAAATCCAGTTCTCCAATGGAAGATGTTTTTTTTGAATAATTTTGGCAGCAGAAAAATTGAAAGTGTGATTTTCGGACCAACAATGTTGAGCAACAGAAGACTTCTGTGTTTCCTTTTTTCTAAACATATGCCTCATGTTCTTTGACGCGAAATTTTAAGGCTCTCTTAGTTTGGCCAATGTAAATTAAACCACACTGGCAAGGAATCCTATAAATACCCCAGGAATTCATATCCGGAATGGGGTCCTTGAGTATAGAAGTTGGAATTTTATTGATGGAGAATAAACAAACTCGAAAAGTTAAATTTCTGCAAAAAATATGTGCCAACTTTATAGCTAATTGATGGAAAGAAGGGAATGACAACAGAATTTTTATAATCTCCTAAAATAAGAGTGTGGCTTTTAGTGTGTTGAGATGAGAATTTTTTAAAAACTGCTGATTAATAATGTTGGGTGAAAAGCCCCTGTCAATAGCTATTGCTTTTAAATAATTTAGTTCTTCGTCAAGGGCTAGTTTGGAGGAGCAAACTTGAAGAGCACGGAAAACATAGGAATAAAATGAAGCTAACTTTGGTTTAGTCGGATGACATGATTTAAAGTGTGGTGGAAGGCAAACCGATGAAGGTTTACGGTAAACTGTAGAACTGAAGTTGGATGTGTTACGTGTGACCAGAATGTCGAGAAACGGAAGAGAAGAATTGCAAGTCTCAAGTTCAAAAGTGAACTGAATAGCAGGATCAATAGAATTCATTGTTGAAAGAACTTTATTTAAATCATCTTTATTACCTTCAAAACAGGATAAAAGTATCGTCTACGTAGCGGAACCATGCCGGGAAGTTTAAAGTTTTCAAACAATTTTGATTCATAATAATGCATGTAGATATCAGCCAGGATGGACTGAGGGGGCTTCCCATGGCTAATCCCTCAGTTTGCTTGTAATATTTATTTTGGAAAACAAACTGTGTTTGTTTCAAACAGAGTTGAGTGAGAGAAATTAGCTCATCAATTTCGATGCAAGAGAAATGAAATTCACGAAGTCTGGTTTCTAGACATCTTAATGCACCCTCCACTGGGACATTGGTGAATAATGATTTTACATCAAAAGAAACCATGAGTAAATTACTAGGAGAAATGTTTTTAACCTTTTTTACAAACTCTAGAAACTAAATATTTAGCTAATGGATACGAGGCAGTACCTAAATTTGATACAATAGGGCGGAAAGGAATACCACTTTTATGAATTTTGGGAAGAGCATATAATCTGGCACAATTCGCAACAGGTAGGATAAGCAAATGTTTTAAGTTGCTTGAAATGATTTGCGAAGATTTGATCGCAGTTTTTATTTTGGATAAGTCCGAAGGTGAAGGATCTTTAGGGATCGGATTATATGGTCCTTCGTTTAAGAGTTTAGTGACACCATCGATGTAAGTGTTCTTATCCATGACGACTATCTGGCCACCTGCCAGATAGTCGTCATGGATAAGACGACATGGATTTGTCGTCATGGCAAAATAAAAACTGCGATCAAATCTTCGCAAATCATTTCAAGCAACTTAAAACATTCGCTTATCCCACCTGTTGCGAATTGTGCCAGATTATATGCTCTTCCCAAAATTCATAAAAGTGGTATTCCTTTCCGCCCTATTGTATCAAATTTAGGTACTGCCTCGTATCCATTAGCTAAATATTTAGTTTCTAGATTTTCCACTCTATTAGACAATAACATTTACACCATAAAAAATTCAATAGAGTTTGTAAAAAAGGTTAAAAACATTTCTCCTAGTAATTTACTCATGGTTTCTTTTGATGTAAAATCATTATTCACCAATGTCCCAGTGGAGGGTGCATTAAGATGTCTAGAAACCAGACTTCGCGAATTTCATTCTCTTGCATCGAAATTGATGAGCTAATTTCTCTCACTGAACTCTGTTTGAAACAACACACATTTTGTTTTCCAAAATAAATATTACAAGCAAACTGAGGGATTAGCCATGGGAAGCCCCCTCAGTCCCATCCTGGCTGATATCTACATGCATTATTATGAATCAAAATTGTTTGAAACTTTAAACTTCCCGGCATGGTTCCGCTACGTAGACGATACTTTTATCCTGTTTGAAGGTAATAAAGATGATTTAAATAAAGTTCTTTCAACAATGAATTCTATTGATCCTGCTATTCAGTTCACTTTTGAACTTGAGACTTGCAATTCTCTTCCGTTTCTCGACATTCTGGTCACACGTAACACATCCAACTTCAGTACTACAGTTTACCGTAAACCTTCATCGGTTTGCCTTCCACCACACTTTAAATCATGTCATCCGACTAAACAAAAGTTAGCTTCATTTTATTCCTATGTTTTCCGTGCTCTTCAAGTTTGCTCCTCCAAACTAGCCCTTGACGAAGAACTAAATTATTTAAAAGCAATAGCTATTGACAGGGGCTTTTCACCCAACATTATTAATCAAGCAGTTAAAAAATTCTCATCTCAACACACTAAAAGCCACACTCTTATTTTAGGAGATTATAAAAATTCTGTTGTCATTCCCTTCTTTCCATCAATTAGCTATAAAGTTGCACATATTTTGCAGAAATTTAACTTTCGAGTTGTTTATTCTCCCATCAATAAAATTCCAACTTCTATACTCAAGGACCCCATTCCGGATATGAATTCCTGGGGTATTTATAGGATTCCTTGCCAGTGTGGTTTAATTTACATTGGCCAAACTAAGAGAGCCTTAAAATTTCGCGTCAAAGAACATGAGGCATATGTTAGAAAAAAGGAAACACAGAAGTCTTCTGTTGCTCAACATTGTTGGTCCGAAAATCACACTTTCAATTTTTCTGCTGCCAAAATTATTCAAAAAACATCTTCCATTGGAGAACTGGATTTTCTAGAGGCATTTCACATTCATAAAAATCTTTCTGTTCTAGTTAACGATCCTAATTCCAATCCAAATTTGCCTTCGGCTTTTAGAAAGAAATTATGTTTTAGTTCTGGTTTCGCCAACAGATGGCGCCACTTGCTTATTCTTGTCCAGGCTTCCTTATCTTATCTAATCATTATTTCCTATCTTGTTCATTTGCGGTTTTGCAGCTGAAGATGATGGTTCGGTAAAACCATCGAAACTAGTCCTGTGAAAATTTTGTGAATATAACGCTGGTTTTTGTTGTTTGACTTCTGAATTAGTATTTGTTCGGCGTGTTATTGTGTCTTAATAGTAAATATGTTTAAAGCTGTAACCGAATGGCACGATGAAGCTTAGAAAACGGAGTTTAAAATACTTAAATTCTTTTGCCCTCAGTCTGATGATGGATGTCTTCTAAATCTCTACTTTCAATCAATACTGCATATTTTTAGAACTAATCTGCATGGCCTTAAACAGCAAGCTAGTAGTCAACTATTTTAATCCCCCCAAAAAAGCATTTTACCAGAGATCTTAAATTCTTCAATTTTGTAACGTTAAAAAAGTGCTTCAGCTGTCTCAGCGGTTAAGTGCTTAAACTCTGTATGATAACTTTGTGATAATATCTGTCTTGCTGTCCAATGAATTTGTATGCTTTTTTGGTTTACCTTTAACTGAGGGTACCAGCTTGATTTTGGCAAATGTTGGTGACATAAATGTTATTGCAGCTCAATTTGCTCTTTAAACATTGAAGCAATTAACACATCTGACCGAATATCGCCAAATAAATATTTTGCAAAAAATTGCCTAACTAGTGCTGGTATCTGAAAATGAACCATGTCTTCTTTTCCCATTCATAGCATCGATATTGTTACGAAAAGCCCAGCTGCAGTAAGATAGCTTCCTCTTCAAAGAGGGGTTAGGGTTTCCAGAAAGTGGCAGGGTTGTCAGACTTGGCGCGAAATCACCCATTTGGTGGCAAAATAGGAGATTTGCCGTAAACGGAACTAGAATATTCTTAGCAATTTTCCTGAGAATATTCTCGAAGGTAGGTTAAAGGTATATATAACCTCTCTGTACGCAGAGTAGTAGTGTGTCTTGAATTCGGAGATTAGCTTGAGAGCGACCGAACCGAGTCCGGAGCTGTACTTTAGTGCTCTGCCGTGAAGTTGCCTTCAGCGCTGTAGCCTCAAGGCTGCGCTGCTGATTGTTTCAGCGCGTTTATCGTAGTTTTTCGACGACTGTAAACGTGTCTTTTGAACTGTCATGTGTAATACTGGCGAATAAATTGTGTTTTATTCTTCATCAAGCGTTATCATCAAATTCACCAACCCAAAGCAACAGTATGAAGTGATTAAATTGTCTTGCATTTTTCTTTGACAAATGTATATGCTATATAGTAAAAATTATCTAATTATTTTAACTTACCTTAAAATTTCCTTCCTCGTAAAAAATGTACAGTCCTGTGAAGTAACAACATAATGTTAGGTTTACTATAGAAAAAATTATCTTCATTTTATTAACAATCAAAAAAACAAAAACAAAAAAAAAAAAAAAAAAAAAACTCTTGATATTCCAGAATTTTAATATACCTGCTTCTTACCATCGAAGTTTACTACCACTTTCTTCTAACTTGCATAAGTGCATAAATGTTTAGCGATTGTTGATTGCTAAGATAAAAAACGCATTAAATACACCGAATTGCTTCAAAATGATTTCTATCAAGGAAAAATTTTTAAAACTGGAACTGTATAGTGACTGAACTATTAAAATAATTCATAAAAGTTGCATCTGTTTGTACGTTCTTTTAAAGCAAAATACAGAAATAAACTAAACTGCAAAACTTGTGGAATTCTTTTAATAAAAACTACTTTTAATTATTCAACTTCCGAAACTCTGCTTATTGATTGTATTTCATTATTAATATTTTTTAAATTACTATTATTATTACTTTAATTTTTTTTAATTCTTATTATTCTATTATTATTTTTTAAATATTATGCTTGCATTTAAATTAAATTTTAATACACAATATAAGTTTCGATGTTTCTGTATCTGAAGCAATATTACTTAATGATTCAATGAATTTAATTTTTTTTCTGCTTCCTGAATTCCTATTTAAATTTAAAAAAGATAATAAAAAGTTTTTATCTGAAAAGAGGAATAGTGATCATTTATTTTAAAAAGTTTTATCGGAAAAGATAAATAGTGATAATTTATATTTAAAAAAAATTTATCTAAAAGATAAAGAGTGATTTTTTTTAAAAGATGATCTTTAAAAATAATCAAAGAAAATTTCTGAAACATAATTCATCAACAAAGGAATTGAGTTTCATAGCTTATTATATGTGAAGGACAGCTAATTCAGTTCAATGATTTTAATTAAAAGTTAATCTAATCAAATTACTAACTAATCATCATTAACTATCTAATCTAACTCAGCTCTTTTTTTTTTTTTTTTTTTTTTTTTTTTAATAATTTAGGAAGTATTTGCAACTGAAATTAGAGGATAAACGAATAAAATTCCCCCAAAGATCTTGGAAACAAATTATTTTGATTAAGGAATAAATGCTTTTAAAAAATTCCGACAACTTTCTGGAGGATAAGTAAATTGCAGTTTAGCAGAAAACTCCCCAAAATAGACAGCAATATGATTTGCTTGAATTTTCTCAATAAAAATTTTATTTGTAGAAAATGTTTATGATTTTTTTATTATTTTAGAGTGCTTAATTACTAATCCTTTGAGAATTAAAATTTCATTTCGAGTCTGACTTATATTCAAAAACGGTTCTTTTAAGATTTTAAAAATCTAGTTGCGAATATTTAACTCATAAATCACATCTACGATTTTATATATAGTTTAGACAACCTAGTTTCAAGGTTTACATGGATAACAAAATGCAAAAAAATCTTACTTGGTAATCTTCGAGTTGCTCTTCCGTAAAAGTCACCACTTTGTTGCCCATATGTTAGCCAGGAACAGAAGAAGTTTTCCTGGACGTAGTTTGCTCCAGGATGCTGTCCTCTCTCTGTCTCTTCGGAATCACGTGATGCCCATAATGTTATATGCTTCACGACCACACCCTTGGTAACTCATTTCCTGCCGTTGATTCCCACCCTTTCGAATGAGACATTCGATTCCCTGCCGAGGATGGATGACATCGGAAGAGAAACTTCCCGGAGAGCACATAAAATTAAATGGGAATCTCCTCCATTGTTTGCAATTAAAAAGTAGGGCAGATCTTTCTTTCCTCCTGAAAATTTTATGTAGCTTTGTAAAAGTGTCCTTTATTGCCTTTCTTAGTGCATGTATTTCTGGGAAAAAAGGCCATTACTAAGGAAAAACAACCTCAATATTTTAAAGCATTTCTGATATATGTTCAGGCATATGGGAATTTTATTTTTATTGTATTCTAGCTGAGAAAGTAAAAAATATTTTACAGAACGGAATTTGATCAAATGGCATGATTAAAAAAAAAAAAAAAAAAAAAAAAAAAAAAAAAACGTCGCAGTTAAATGATACTCTCCTAAATTACTTAATCGTCAGTAACTATAGTGTCACAAAGCAGACTTTAAGGCCTCATGAACTTTACAGTTTAAGAGATTGAAATATTCAGATGAAAAACAGACGCAGATGAACAAGTTAGAAACCTGTTAGAATTGTGTCCAAAACCAAAACCTGTGACACTGATGAACCCAATGAGTTCGAAAATAGCATTGTGAATACGCTTACATGCTATATCCCACTAGCATACTTGCGATAAAGAATAAAATAACACACAATAGTATCATAAGAATTATGCATTCAAGTTCTCTTTATAACTCAAAATGTAGGTAAATTTTCAGATCTGTTAAGAGTCATGAACTCTAACATTTCATACTATGTTAACTATCCCATCGCAATGAAAGGCACAATGATTAGAGGCCCACCGCGACCGAGCGATAAAATCGCTGAACACTGGGTAGTTCAGTTCGAGGTTCGAAACACCGAACGGGCTGGCGCGTTGGCGTTTTCGTGGTGTAACTTGCATACGAGCCAGTTCTCCTTAGAAAATCCAAAGGGATCGCTTTCCTTAGGCTGATAGCCCTCGAATGCTTTGCCGTAATGACATAAACCAAATCAAATGAAAACTTCTTGCGGGTGTAATATCCGTATCCCCTCTACGGTGAACCCTGAGCAACTCAGTCGATGACAGCTTGAAGAACAACTATTTAACCATTTAGGAGAAAGAAAAATAATACAATCAGTACATTAACGTTGTACTTCGTCCAAAGCTACGCTTCTAGAGGTTGAAAGAGCTGATTAAATTAATTTTTTATGTTTTTCCGTGTAAAATATTATCTGCCATCTTATCGCGGGGTATAACTGGAAGTACGCTTGGCTAGCAATCGGGAGGCCCGGTGTCCGAATCTCGGCAAGAGCACTACTAATTTATCACTTTGCCCTGACCAATGACTCTATATCCTATCTATATATATGTCTTACGTGATTATGAACCCAATTTTCATTAGAAAGTCCACCACGAAAGTAGTCTTCCCAGAATTTTCTAAAACAGAAATACGCGATGCAGAAAAATAGCAGCGATAGGCAGAAATATATCTGCTTGGAACAAAATTACAGTTCAGGAGCATAGTTGTTCGTTATAATATTTGGATCATTATGAATGTTTTGTATGTTGATGTACTGTACTGAACTGTCGCGAAGAAAATAAAAGCAGTTTTGCAGTTGCACAAAACTCAACGTTTTTGTAAAAAGTGTGAATTTGTAAATCCCGCGCTCTCGAGTAGATCAGAGTAGAGCGCTGATACCTCCTACATCAGCTACCATGTGCTTCCCCGTAATGGGTAGCATAATATAACAGATTTTATCTTCTCTACCTCTCAAGCATTAAAGCAGATTTCTTAATCAAAATCGGAATATATTTAGTAAGACATATCAGCATAACTAAAGTAACAACTAAAGCATTAAAAGAATATGCATTTTATCGTTGTTCATAACGTATGCATAGCTAAACAAATGTCTATTCTGGATTCATGCTGGTCCATCATTGGGAAAACTCAAAAAATCTTAAATTGGTAAGCGAATATTTCAATTTTTGAATTCTTTGGTTATAAATACTGGTCTAGAGGAAAACTGACCGATTTCTAGCGCAGAGACATAGTAGCATAAAATGCCTTTTCGCTTCAGATAAATGAATTTGTTAAATCGGCTTCGAAATACATTGATTATTTGTAAGTGAAAATAAAATATTTAAAATTTAATGTACAAATCCTACATTCTTACGTAAAAGCAAAGGAAGAGACAGGTGTGTTACAGACTCTTTATGGAATACGGAGTTCTTGATAAACCAAAGAGCACTCTCCTAAAATTTTGTTCTGAAGGGTGTAGAGTCATTAGGGTTTTTTGAAGTTGGAGATGTTAAAAACCTGCATTGTCTTCCCCAGGATTCGAACCTTGGACCTCTCGAGTACGTGTAGAGTATGCTTCCAATTACAGCACAAAGGCATGTGGAAAGGAGGGAGAAAATACCTTATAAGGGTAACAGAATTTTTTAAAAAATTATGTGCCGCCCAAACGGGATAGCGCTTAGGGTAGCCTACTGCCATATCAAAGGGCCAGGGCTCGAATTCCAGAGAAGACATGGGTGTTTATAAATGTATAATATCTGTGCGACATGGGGGCACTTTAAATATGTGGCGAGCCAAAAGTCTTCTCAAGAGGTTGATGGTAGGGGAAGAGGGGTGCAAGACCCCCCCGGACCCGTTCCCCCCAAAGTGCTGTCCTTCAAAGTTGGGGGGGCGGAACTAAGTAAAGTCACCTGTATAGTGTGCCCAAGGCCCTTTGCCAACGATAGGCGCAATCTTGCTTCCTTGTCACGATGAATTTCGTGGCCTTGCTCTTATATCCGACAAGCGAGATTAGTCACAACAACAACAACGACATAAAGATGTGTTTTTTCCACCTAAATATCAGATACTGCAGAATGAAGACCGAATATGTGAAGAAGAAACTTGTTCTTGATTGAATGCTAGCTATTTCTTCCTCGAAATGAGTAGATATTGCAAAGCGTGAAATTGGACTTATAATCGGGATTTGCTTTTTATGGCCTCTTTAATATGCACCGCGTCTGGTTTTATGCCACGTCTGCCAATATTTACGTGCGTTCTATTCTGCATATGCAGCTGAATTTGTAATCATTTGCATTCTGCACGACGAACATAAACTCATCCACCGAATTTATGGCAGATCTGGTAACTCTTACTTAGGATTGCAATTTCACTGAATATCATAAAGTAGTGTATATTAAGAAAAAAAGAGAGAGAAACACGTTGTATCATTTAAAGAGAACACAGCTTCTCTTCAAATGAAAACACAAAGGGTTGTTTTAACCCCTTTCATAGAAAAAGAGCATTTTAATTACTTTTCTGAGATATAATAAATAATAATGATGCAATAAGTAAAAACTACTAATGCGTCATTCACTGATGTACTAATGCGCCATTTCATAAAATTTTTTATTTTGAAGAACATTCATTTTTACTTCCTTGTACGAAGTAATATTCTAATCACGAAAAATTCCGGGTACCATATTTCAACGAAAATATCCATTTTCCGCTATGAATACAATTTAACGTTGTTTTTGAGTGACATCTTCACTTAAACAGAATTTTTTCTTTGAATTCGTAAATCTTAACTGAATATGTATATGGGGAAAGTTACAGTGACACAATCATTTCATCCACTTATTTCATCAACATTCATCTTCTTTCACGTACAGAAAACCAAATCTCCTTTCAAAAAATAAAAAATCACAACTTTTAAACGTGAAATCATGATAAACGCTCCCAGTTGGTTATAAATTTACTTCATGAACATAAATTTTATTTCCTTCCATTATTATGAAAATTATTATTGAAAAGAATAATTTCTAGAGGATTTCAAAGCTATATTGATGTATCTGTAAAACTAAACGCTATTTATATTTCTAGCCTAATAATGGAAAAACAAATGTTTATGATCGAAATTGGTTTTATTGTTTTTCAAAATATTCTTCATGAAAATCAATACACTTTTGCATGCGTTTGAACCAATTTTCGAAGCATTTTTCCCACTCCGATTAAGGTAACTCCTAAACATGCGTTTTGAATGCATCAACCGCTTTCGCTGATCACGTAATTTATTTTTGATGTTCCGGAATAAAAAAGTCATTGGGTGCCAAATCAGGACTGTACGGCGGATGACCTATCAATTAGATGCTTTGGCCCGTCAAAAATCCCTTTGTTTCAGCCGGTGTGCGAGAGCTTGCATTGTCATGATGAACAATGTGATTCGTCTCTTCTGCTTTTAGCGAATTACTCTGGTGACTTCTGTCAAACAAATCGTCGTATTCTATTATTAGGAATGGACCGTTCTGCGTTGCTCTAACACCACTGTTGCCACATGACCGGTAGTGCTGAAAAAACAAAGATTTGCTTCAATGTGGTTTTTCCGCCAACAATTTTTGTTGGGTTTGGCTCCTATTGGAAGACCCATACAGTCGACTCTGTTTCGATTCGGGCTCATATGCATAGATCCATGATTCGTCACCAGTGTAGATGTTATACACAGTCTTTGATGCACCTTGAACGTATTTTTCTAACATTTCCTTGCACCAATCGACAAGAGCCTTCTTTTGAGCGTATGCCAGATTATTCGGGATCCAATGCGAACAAATATTTTTTACGACCAAAAGTTCAAATGCTAATATATTATTGATGGTTATCATACTAATGCCCAAAAGATGCCTCAACTCACGGTATGTCACATGACGATATTGCTTTATCAGTTCAAGCACAAAATCGATATTTTCTGGCACAACAGCCGATTTTGGACGACATTCACGGAATTTGTCCTGCAGCGAACGTCGACCGCAGTTGAATTCGTTATACCAGTTTTTTACAGTGCTTTGGATGGTTCTCTATCGCTGTATAAAGAATTAAGTCTATCGAAGCAATCTTGTCTTGATAATCCACGTCGAAAGTTATCAAAAATAATCGCAC